TAATTTAGATATTAAAGAAATGAAAAGAATATAAGTAATTATAAAACTATTAAGTATGTAAACTTTGATTTTGTTGGCAAGAAATTCTATCCTTTAATAAGATAACATAAAAATGAGTAACAAGATATTCATAGTAGTAAAAAAGGTACTTTTGACGCATTTAAAACTAATATCGATAAAATTACTGGTGTTTTCTTAGCTGATACAAAGAAGATAAATGAAGAGAGAAATATTTATATTCAAGTCAATGTTAATATCAATCCTTAGAATGGTTCTAAAGAAATTTAAATACAAAGCACTGTGAAAATATATAATTATTTAAGTACTTCAATTGAATTAGGCTTTTAAGTAAATGGTTAAATGAAAGAAACAACTTCAGTTAAATTAGAACCTAAATAAATATATATTGTTCCATTAGAGTTTTTGGAAAATAAAACTGAAGTTAGATTTACTCCTGAGAAAATATAAAATCGTTAATAAGATGAATAATTAGAAAGAAAGTATTATTAATTAGATACATTATTATGTGATTAATAATCTTTGGGAGAATTCGAAGTTGATAAAGATAATTCAATTGTTGAAGTTTTAGAATAAGCAACTCAAATTGTTACATCTGAAGGAAAATCAAATCCAGTAATTAAATCCGAGTTTAAATAAATTCATGATTCATTAAACTATAAATAAGATCATATTATAACATCAATGAAAAGCAATATCAAAAGAAACAACTTTTACTTTGTTATTAATTGTGTGAAAATAAAAAATTAGATTACTAATTAAAGAAAGGCTATGATAAATTTTAATGAAATAGGCGAGTAAAAACAAAGTGAAGAAGATAATGATGTTTGTTATGAAACTTATTTGATTTGTTATCCTATTTTTAAATTCACAAATGCTACTGTTAGAGATATCAATATACATTATGGAGTTTTTTCATCAAATAAATAATAATCTGAAAAATAATTACCTTTTTTAGAAGTTAAACCAGATTAACATTTTTATTGTGAAAAATTAGATTATCATGATGATATTGAAGTTCAATTTTCGATTGAGAATTAAAAAAGATTTGATGGAAATGAAAATTTAAATGAAGATTCATTTAGAACTAAACCTTTTAAAATATTTAATAGAGGTTTTGGATTAGGAGAAGAGAATAAATTTTAAATAAAATTTAAATAATACAAAGGCAATGATTAATATTTGACAGTCTTAATAAAAAAAAGATCAACTAAATCAAGAGAATTAGTATTATATTGTCCATATTTAATATTTAATGAAACGAACAAACTATTAATATACAGAGAATATGGTTTAACTTAGGATATTCTTTCAGATGATGTGATTTATTATTAAAATTTTAGTAAAGCATTTTAGAAAAATAAATAAAAGAAAGAAATTGAATAACATTCTTAATATCATAATTTACATTAATTTGCTACAAGCACTAATATGAATAAAATATAAGTTGCTATAGGATAAATAAATGATTAGTATTAAGTTTAAGAAATTTCAAAATGGAGTAATCCTGTTAGTTTATAAAATAGTAATGTTTTAGAAGTAGTAGGAAGAACTGATATATTAAAGAAAGATCATGAATAATTGTAATTAAATAATGGTAAAAAGAGAACAAGTGCAGATGCCAAAGGAAAATTTGAATTTGGTATGGCAATTACTAGTGGTCCAGGATCATTTCATAGAAGCAAATTAATTACAATAACTCCTAGATTTATAGTCCATAATGAAACATAAGAGAACATAGCCATGGCTTAAGTAGATACAGAATATAGAGATAATAATCTATCAAGATTAAAACCAGGAGATTGGAAATATTTTAGTTGGTCAAACATAAAGAAACCTGCTTTAGCAATGATTTCTTTTTATTAAGAATCTACTGGTTTAATATCAGGTTGGAGTGGATATTTTAAATTATAAGTTTAGGAAATCTCTTTAAAAATTCCTAAACCTTTTATTAATAATAATAACAATGAGTAATAGTAGCTCTATATGTTATAGAAGGTCAATATTACTTTGATGGATGATTTAATTCTTTTAATTAGATTTATATTAGAAGATCCTATCATTCCGCCATATTATATAGAGAATCTTACAAAATATGAAATCACATATAAACAATAACCATCTAGTTAGGCATAAAAATATAAATTGAATTAGGCTAATCCAATGATGTAAAACAACGAAATAAATAGAGGTATTCATTAAGTTATAGCTTCTAAACCTATTGGTACTCAAGAATAAGAATTAATATCATTTTCTGCAGGGGGAAATGAAACTACTTATTTATAACCTGGAGAAAAAGTGGCATTCACTTGGGATCATTGGATTGATGATAAAGAACATGTTTTAGAAGTTGAGATTGAAGGTTAAACAGAAAAATATGAAATTGATAAAATTTAAAATTTTTAACCGCTTACTTTACCAGGTTAATCTTAGAAGAGAAAAAAATTAGTAAATAAGAAATTTCTGTATAAATAAGGTTTTATATTTATTAAAAATTTGGATAGACCTAAAGAATATTATTGTACCTTAAATGTTCTGAAATAAAAATTTAATGTATATTTTAATAAAAGGAAATAACATGAATCATATTATTTATAGGGAGCAAAAGTTGATGAGAGTAAAGATAATGAATTTGTATTAAAAATTAACCCTGAAAAAATGTTATCTAAAAATTTACATTTTTAAACTAAAACTGTTGATGAAGCAAATCAATGGGTAGAATATTTATGGAGAGCTATTTTAATTGATAAACCTGAAATGGTAGAATTAAAAATTGAACCATCTAATCAAACTAAAGTAGTAACATTTTATTAAAATAAATCAAATGATAGAACAGATACTTAAAAGGAAGGATCAGAAATTGAACCAGAAAAAGAAGATGATGATAAATAACGTTAATAATTTACTTGTTATAAAATATCCATTAGCAACTGTGTAAGTATTTCTATAATTGATGAAACTCCAAAAGAAATACTTTAAATTTGTTTTAAAAATATTTAAGCAGAATATATTTTGATAGAGGAGATTTAGAAGGATTTATAATTAAGATCAAATCAGGATGATGATGATAATACAAATTTTTTACCAGAAAAACCATAAATTAAATAAATAAAAGAACATATAAATTTATCTATAGATCTAATTATAATCAATAATTAAATAATAAACTCATAATTTCCTGTCTTATTGGCTCCTAATAAAAAAAAAATATTTGGCAATCAATAACCATTTTTTGTATTGACCATTTACAGAAAAGATTAATCTTAGATAAAAAAGCCAAATAATATTATAAATAATGGAAGTAGAGTGAGTGTTAAGAATGAATCAAATGGTTAAGCAAACTAAGTTTAAATGAATGATTAATAATAAAATTAATCAAAATTTAAGATATCATATATACACACTTTACAAATGTTTACAGATACTTTGGAGATTAGACTTGATCATTAAATTTTGGATTAAATAATCCAGTATTACAATTTAATAGCAGCAATAATTTGGGATAGTAATTATAGTGATGTTTAATAACAAAGCAATAGTTAATTTGGATTAGGATCTTTATAAAAGAAGTAAGAAGAATAATTAAAGAAAATAAAATAACATAGTATTAGTAAGATATATCTTAAAAATTTAATGTTAGAACCTATAGATATATGTTTTACGTTAAAGTATATATATTAAATATAATTCTTAGATCATCTCCTGGACATGTTATGAATTCATCATCGATAGGAGTAATAGCTGATTTAGGATTAACATTAGCATCAATTGATAGTGCAAAAATTAGATTGAATGCCTTTAAGACTCAACATATATTTGGTTCTAGTAATGAAATTATAGGAAGAATATCAAAACATTACAAAGGGTATATTAATCATAATATGTTTATAGATAATTTTTAACATAGATTTATAAATTATTAGGATCATTTGAAATATTTGGAAATCCTGTTTCTTTAATTTCAAACTTAGGAACTGGTGTAATTGATATGTTTTATGAACCTATTTATGCTTTGGTGACAGGTAAGAGTGGGTATAAAGTTGGAGAAAAATTCTTTACAGGCGCAGTAACTTTGATACATACTTCAATTACAGGAGTTTATAAAACAGTTAATACAATTATTGGGACAATTATGAAGATTCTCGATTAAATGACTTTAGATAAAAAATATATGTCTGAAAGAAGTAATAGATTAAATAGAGCAATTAAAAATTTCAGAGAAGGTTTGATAATTGGATTTACTAATTTTGGAAAGATTTTATTTTAAACAATCATAGGAGTTTTAGAAAGACCCATTACTGGAATAAATGATGGTGGATTCTTAGGTTTTCTACTAGGAATTTATTAAGGAATTATGGGAATCATAATCAAACCAACTGTAGGAATATATGATCTCTTAATCACTATAATTGAAGGCATCAAGAATACAGCGATATATGAAGAACATATTATGGATACACGATACAGACCTCCAAGAATATTTGGAGATAACAATTAATTAATACCTTTCAATTTTAAGCATGCAATCGGAACTGATATTATAAGAAGGTATAAATTGAAAGTTATTGATGGAGAGAGTATTATCTTCTTTGATCAACTAAATATATCAGATGGAGATAAAAAAAAATAGGAAGCATAGATAGTGCTTACAGACTCAAGAATTGTTTATATTTTAGTAATATTTTTAATTAATTCATTTAGTCTCATTCATCTATACATTGTGATAAGATAATGATTTACAAAATTAAATCAATAACATTTTTTGAAAAATACAAACTGCTTAATTTTAAGCTTCACACACCAGTTAGAAAATCCTGGTTTGCAAATTCAAAAAAATATTCATTAAAATATGAAAGCTAAATAAAAGCAAGAAAATTAGCTGAATAGATTTAGTAATCGTTTAAAGATAAATACATTATTGAATTTAAATATAAGCCATGATATTATTGATGAAATTTTTTTTAATTTTGTAAAACATCATATCACATTAATTTATTTTGAATAATTTGCATAAGTTTTTTTGATAGATTTTGTTGTTTGATAGAAGTAATATATCTATGTTTTAATGCATCCTTTACAGAAATTCTTTTATTTGGATCATATTATAACATTTTTTATAATAAATCTATTCCATCACTACTCATTTTTGGGATTACTTTAAATAAATTCATTGGTTCTCTTTTTTCAAATTAAATAACTTAAGGGAGATTTAAAAAACCCGGCCAATTTTATTCAGTGGGATTACCAAGAATATTAACCATTTTTGCTAATATTTTCATTTCACTTTCACCTGAGAATAATGGCTATTTAAGATGTAATTCAGCAAATACACATCCTATTGCCCAAACATCTAAACTAGGACTATATCTTTGTGAATCGAAATAGAGTTCAGGTGATCTATATTACATAGTGCATGTTTAAGTTGTCATAGGTTTATCTTCCCATAATCTTGCTAAACCGAAATCTGTAATTTTTAAAATTCCATCTTTTGTAATTAAAACATTTTCAGGTTTAAAATCTCTATGCATTATCATTTTAGTATGAAGTTCTTCAAATCCTTTTAAAATTTAGAAAAGTATCAATTTAATATCTTCTTCTTGAAAAAAGTCATTTTATTCTCTATAAACATGAATTAATTCAGTTAGAGAAACCATATAATCATAAACAAAGCAAAGTGAACCAAATGTATCGTCATTCTTTTTTTTTGATGTTTTCATAAACACTTATTTAGGTATATTTAAATTTTAGTGAATCATTGAATTCATAAATCTTACCTCTCGTAAACTATCAATATCTAAGCCAATCTTCTTTTTTAAAGGCTTGAACTTTTTAATTACTACATGTTAAGGATGAGTCTCAATATCGATCGGAGTAGGAATCCATTAAAATATTCTTTTATTGTGTATCGGTTTCTCCAATTTACACAAATAAATCTTACCATAAGCTCCTCCTGGTAATTTTCTTATTTTAGTATAATAATCATGATCTACACTTATCATATATATATTTAAATATTTGATAATAATTTATACATTTTTTTACAATTTTCAACCATGAGTATAATATTTGGATTTTATTATTTATCAATTATTCATTTATGTGTTTAAATCTGTCAAAGGAACATATCTAATTCCTAAAATATTTTAAATATTAAGTTTCCATTTTCATCTTTATCGATGACTTAAAAAACTTGATTTCCTTTTCCAACTGGAATGACCATTCTCCCTCCTTTATCTAATTAATCTATTAATTTTTAAGTATAGTTTCTGCTGCTGCACTAACATATATTACTTGATAAGGATCTTCTTATTTATATCCTAATCTTCCATCTCCTTTTATAATTTAGATTTGCTTATCCTTTAACAATTAATTGTAAGAACTATCTTTAGAAATCTCATTTACATGCTTAAATTATTAAGAGATTTAATAACTAACTCTGGAACATGTTCCAGTTCAATTCCTTTAGATTATTATGATTTCATCATCAAAAACATTGCAACACATAAATATCCGCTACCTGAATCAATATCAAGTGCTATTACTCCATTTTATAAATGATTTTTAAGCAATTCCTTAATTAAATTAGAATATACTAAAGAATATGCATTCATATGAGGAGCTTAAATAGTAGCATTAAAACAAATTATAAAGGGTTATCTTCATATTCATACATTTTATCTGATTCATCTACAATATATATCCGATCTACAGACAAGAAAACCTATCTGACAATTTCAGATTTAAAAACTCTTTCTTTAAATAAATTTTGTACTAATTTTTCAAGTTTATTATTCATTTAATTTATGGACATTGAATTTTAAATCAAAGAGAATAAGGTCTCTATTCTTATTATTGGAATGGCAGGAACAGGCAAAACTACTTTTGTTTAGGTTAGAAATTAAACATAAATGTTAGCAATTAAGCAAACAATTATAAAATGAAAAGCCTACTTTAATTAATCTTGATCCTGCTGTTTATTCTTTGCCTTACGAACCTGAAGAAGATATTCGCAAATCAATTAACTATAAAGAGTTAATGACTAAGTATAAATCTTTAAGTCTAAACCTAGGAATAAACTTGGTCCTAATGGTGCAATTATAACAGCTCTAAATCTTTACTCACTTCAATTAAACTAATTAATTGAAAAAATTGAAAAATCTGATTCCAATATATAAATAATTGACACTCCAGGCTAAATTGAAGTATTTACTTGGTCAGCATCTGGAAATTTAATTTCTTAAACATTTTCTATGTCTATGCCAACCATACTATTTTATGTGATAGATATTGCAAGATGTTAAAATCCAAATAGTTTTATGAGCAATTTACTATTTAGTTGTAGTATTTTCTACAAATTTAAATTACCTATGGTTATTGTTTTTAATAAATGTGATGTAGCTGATTCAAAAAAGCCTTTAGAATGGCTTAGAGATTATGATTCATTTACTTAAGCCTTAAAAAATAAAGACAACTATTTATCCACTTTGAGTAAATAAATGGTATTGACTTTGGAAGAGTTTTATAACAACTTTACAGTTCTAGAGGTTTCATCATTAACTGGATAAGGCTTTGAAAATATCAATGAAGTAATTGCAAACGCCAAAAAAGAATATATGAATATTACTCTTGTTGATATTTAAAAGAAAATGAATAATTAAAAATAAAAGAACTACGAAAAATAAATCAATTAGATAACATAAAAAATTTAGAATTTGTGAATTATATATATATTCATTTTTTACGATAAACTCTTTCTTTTTCTTTTAAATCCAAAATTAGTATATCTTATTCTTTTATTTTCTAATCCATTTAATATCTTAATCTCTTATCTATTTCTTGTTCTAAAATTATTCAAATATTTTACATTTTTTTAAATCCATTATAATCATATTTGCTTACTCTAAATCTTTCTTTGATAAACCAATATCGCTTTTTAAATTTTCCAATTCATTAAATTAATCTCTCAAACTCATTTTATCATTTTCATATTTATTTATTTCATTAAAATGCTTTGCTTCTAATTCCCTAATTTATTCCCTTTACTTTTTTTCCAATTCTTCTATTTAATCCTCGTATTATTCTTGAATTGTTATTCTAATTGATTCTTTATATTCATTTAATTAAGATTTTAAAGCTATTATTTCTGCTTCCTATTAAATTATTCTTCTTTATGCCTTATCAAATTCTTCAATTTATTCTCTTGCTATTTAAAATGAATTTTTCATTTCTAGAAATGTTGAATTTAAATCTGCTACACTTTTACCATCTTCTATTGTTGATTAATTTAAGAAACTTCCATGAAATGAAGATTATAATTTACAATCTTATTCAGTTCTTAATTCTAAAATTTGTTAATCTTTTTATTCTATTTCTTCTTATAATTTTTTTATTTTTTCTTGTAATAATTATTTATCAGCTTTTTATTTTTCTAAAGATTTTGTTAATTATTATATTTTTTCATTTTCAGCATTTAATTTAAGATTTTCAGCTTATTTTTCATGTAATTCATCCCTAATTTATTCATAGGCTTATTTCCATTTAATCTTTTCTTCTTCTAGTAACTTAATTTTTCTAGTATCAACATTCATTTGTAAATTAGGCTACTCTTATTATGATTGCAATTATTTTATTTCATCAATCTTAACTTATAATAATATCTTTGACTCATTCAATTACTTTTATAAATCAGTAATTTTATTATTCAATAATTATACTGTATTTTTTTAAAAATCATGTGTGCTTTCTTTCTCTTTTTCTTTTTAGTCCTCTACAACAATAATTACATCATCTTCTTCTTTTTATTAATTTAACTACCTATTTACAACTTTAGCAATTTCTTCTTTTGAAAATTATGCTTTATCATCTTTTATAATATCTTTTATATTCTCGGCCTTAACTTTCTATTCACTCTAAGTTTCTTATTGAATTTAACAATTTCCAAACCAAGGATGTTCTCTCATTTTTTGAATATTAAATCTTTTCTATGGATCTTTTTATAATAATCCTTAGACCAAACTTTTAGCTAAGGAAGGAAAATCATTTGGAAAATTAATTTTAACTTTTAAAATGTTATCTTCAAGTATTTTTTATGATTCCTTTTGATCTTTAATTTAAGAAGAAGGAGCAAAAGGTGCTTTTCCTGTTAAAAGTTCGTATATTAGTACTCCTAAACTCCAATTATCAATTTTTTCATCATGACCACACTCTAAAATCATTTCTGGTGCTAAATAATCTAATGTTCCACAATAAGTAGTTCTTTAATGATTATTAATATTAGACCAACCAAAATCAGCTATTTTAATATGGCCATTTGCATCTAATAAAATATTTTCTGGTTTGATATCTCTATGAATGATTGGTGGATTTCTTGTATGTAAATATTCTATTGCTGACATTGCTTCTTACATAAATTATTTTACTGTTTTTTCATCAAAACGTCCTACTCGATTTAACTTTTACCATAACTACCCTCCAGTTGCACATTCTAAAATCAGATATATATAATCCTCTTCTTCATAATGGTTGTATAATTTTACAATATTGGGATGTTCTAACCCGTACATAATTTTAACCTCATTAATAATCTATTAAGTCATTTTCTATTATTTTATTTGTTTTTTTGCTATCTATTTAAGCGCAAAAATCATTTTTGTTTTTTTATGTCTAACTTTAAATACTTTTCCAAATGCTCCTTATCCTAATCCTTAAATTACTTCAAAATCTTAAGTGCATGCTTCTCTTTCCATTCTTCCTTATACCGTAGGTGAGAAAAAGAGAATTCTCTCTTTAACTTGATTAATCACTAAACCATTCGACATTTATTCTCCAGAAATTTATTATTATATAAAATGTATATTTAAAAAAGAAATTTCAATTTTCGTTTATGAGTGACTAATCATTAATCATTAGGATGATCTTTATTTAATATAAAATATCTATTTAAAACACATAAATAATATCATTTACATTCATACCAATTATTTCCAATTTTAGCATCAACTTCTAAAGGTAATTCTAATTAAATTTCAAAAGGATTTTCCATTAATTCTTTAACAATCATTAAAGCTGCTTGAGCATTTTCTTCAGGGCCTTCCTATCATATATTTGAATAAATTAGATACTAGAATTAATTCATCATGAACTTGTAAAAGTAATTTAAAACCTAAATCTTTTAATGTCTCATTTTTATATATTTTAACCATTGCTGCTATAACTATATCTGCTGCTCCTCCTTAAATAGGAGTATTAATGGCAGCTCTTAATCCATGATTAATATATGATCTAGTTTATTATTCAAAATATTTTTCCAAATATCTATATCTTCCTAAAAGAGTTTATGTGAAGAATTAGCTTTTTGCAATCATTCTAACATTATATTACCATTATTCCTAAAATTTATAAAGTTAATACCACTTCTTTTCTCTAAGCAAACCAGGCATCTATTGTTTTTTAAGCTTCTTTGATATCACATTGCCAATCTTTTGCAAATCCTGTTGCTGTTTTACCATATGCAATTGAAAAGTTCAAAACTTTAGCTTTTCTCCTTTCAGCAGCATATTTATCTTTTACTAATGGAGCTGGTGCTTTTCCTTTTGATTTATCCCATTCTATTAATAATTCTCCTTTTTCAATTTCTTCTTATATACTAGGAAACATAGTCTTTAATGATAATTAATAAAATAATTACAATAACAGTTCTAGAGTGAAAATCTCCCCCCTTTAGAAATGCATCAATCATAGCTTTACATTTAGTCATATGTGCTAATACTCTCAATTCTAATTAACCGTAATCAGCTACTATTAGTTTACATCCTTATTTTGCAACAAAAGATTTCCTTATTTTATATCTATCTTTCTCTAATGCAGGTTAATTCAATAAATTTGGATTTCTTGAACTCAATCTACCAGTTTCTGTATTAATATTGATACTGGTATGAACTCGACCACTTGTATCTGTTAGTTCAATTAATGGAATAATAAAGGTGTGTAATAAAACTTCTATGCTTTTTAATTCTAGCAAATCATTAATTGCAACACATGCATCAATCCCCTTTTAAGGATCTCCTTTACTTGCAAAATGTTAATAAATTAATCCATATTATTACTTTTCTACATCACCAGCTAATTACTTCAAAGCATTATAATCTGCTGATGGCATTCCACTAGGAGTATAACTTAAAGGGGCAATTCCTAATCCTTTAATATACATTTCAGTATATTTTAAAGGAGATCTTTAATTTTCCTTAACAATTTAATGTATATTATCAATCTAAAATGCCTTTATTTCTGATAAATCTTCAACTTCTTTGCGAATAGATTTTTTTCTTCCGTCTGAAAGATATTCATCTTCTTCATCTTCTTTTATTGTCTAATGAGTTTTTTTAACTTACTACTTTTTACAAGGAGCAAAGAATAATTATTATAATTATTAGGTACTACTACAATTAAATTATGAGACATCTCCTTCTTAAGTAGTTTATACCCATTTAATGAAATTTTATTCATATTGTTTCATATCTTATTCAGCTTAGATTTTTATATTATTTACATGAGAAATGTCTACCTACATTCCTTCTCTTTCTAACTCAGTCAATATTTCACCTAAAGAATTCCAATATTTACTATAGATATCACCTAAACAATTTATACCAAACTCATTTTTTTTAGTATGATAATCTGAATCTGTTGGTTTTGAATTATAAAAAATTTTTGTTTTATTTAACAAATCTTTTAAAGTAAGACATAAAAAATATGTTATTTCTGAATCTAAAGTAGAATATTCAATCCATTAATTTATGTATTGAGGTAAGCAATGCATTTATAAAATCTTTGGATATACTTTTAATTTGCTAACTTCACCATTTTTTAATTCTTTATTTTATCCAAAAATTTACTTCATACTCGTCTTTAAATTAATATCAAGTAAATGATCTTTAAATATTTAGAGACTTTATTTTTCTTCTTCAGTTAGATTAGGTTTTTTTAATAAACATTCTAATCTTTTAGTTTTTACTTATTTTATCTCTTCTTCATGAGCTATTGATAATTTAGCTAAACTATATTCTTGTGGTTATTTTGATGGATCCAATAGTCTAGCCATATGCATAGTATCACCAAAAAATCCTTAAACATTTATTCCATGATTGCCTATTATATGTCTATCAAAACCATAATTATGCCATATTTTTAATATCTTTTCATCTTCAAAATAATCCTTAAATAACATTATTATATCACTATTTTAAGCAAAATTATCAATAAATAATCTTGGCCCATTTCCAAAATTTACTTCAGGACCAGCAAATGCACTTGCACAAATCAATTTACCTCTATTTATTGGATTCTCACTTTTTACATCAATGTCTATTGTTTCTGTATCCCAAGCATGAGGTTATTTATTGTATTTTTTTAATATTTCTATAACTCTCTTTGCTTCATTTACATTTCTTACAATTGTCACTCCAGGTTATTCCTTTACATCTTCTATTGTTTTGTTATAATAAGACCGATATAAATCATACTCTGGAGTCTTTGAACTACCTCCTATTCTACTCTTTATTGATGCTATGTTATTGATTTAAGCAAATTTACAAAATCTAAATTTTATCATAAAATTATAATCACATTTAAATATAATGCCATTATTTATAATTATCTGATTCTTCTTAAAATATTATCAATCTTAAAAGTTATTTTTACAATTGATATTATATTGTATAGTGATTATTAAATAACATAGTATTGTTTATGAACAGTGCGTCTTTTAGTGCTAAAAAGGAAAAAATATTAATGGGAAAGAAAATAGATTTCTATATGTTTTTGATAATCGCTTGGTTATTAATAAAAACTAAAGCAAGAGTAATTAAATTGAAAATTTAATAAGAGAAAGACGGAACTATTTAATAAATTATAAAACCTTCAAAACATTCTTATAGAACATTACTTTGATTATTAAAAAGGAATAAATAATGTATAATGCAGACTAGAAATTTTAAATGCTTTAAAAAAATACTATCAAAATTTTCTCAATAGAGTTGTTTTGAATGTGAAACTTAGAAGGTTTTGGAGAGGTAATTACGTTAATTTTCATCAGTATAATTTAATTTTGAATTTATGTGAGGGGTAGAATTTAAAAACAGAATAAAATGATTGAAAATTAAAATTGTAATATTTATTTAAAGTTTTGAGATAATGTATCATCTCCTTTTAACAGTTGATTATATTAGCAAAGGTCTAATGCATAGAGATTTAAAACCAGAAAAAACTTTATTTTAGAAGCCATAAGATTATCAAAAATTGAAAAGAGGAAATTTTGAACTTCCAGTAATTTAGAATGATATTCCTTATCTTTATCTAAATGGAGAATTACAGAAAATGTTATTACAGAAAGTAAAGTAAGTTTTTAATTAAATTAAAATTGCCGATTTAGTTGAAAAAGATAAAGAATGAAGTAGAGATTGTGAAATCATTGTTTGTGGAATTATATTCCATTAACATTAATTGGGGGGATTTCTCTACTAAGGAACATAAAATTACTGAAACTTAAAGGAATGTAAAATAAATTCAGAAGATACTAAATAAAATGTTTTATTTATTGAATTAAAAGATTTTAGGTAAAATTTATTAATACTAAAAGGTTTAAAACTGCTAAAGACTAATCCTTAACATTGACTTAGTGCAAATGAATGATTAAGTCATCCCTATTTCGCAAATTAGAAATTAAATGCTGTTGAAATTTTCTCAATGAATTTTATAGCAGATAAAGATTATAATGCTTAAGTTAAGTAATATTAAATACATTTCCAACAAAGCTTGGTATAGAGAAATAATTTTCTTTTTAGAATTGAGCAATTAAAGAAATACTCCTTTAAAATAGTATGATGATGATTATTATTCTACTGTTCATCTGTGAATCATTTCTTTTTATATAATTATTTTAATAAACAAAATTTTATAAGTGAGCTTTTTTTGTGAATTATGGAATCTTTAGCTCAATAAATTAAGTCATTGTAATAAAAGAATTAAGAACTTTCTTAGTTAGAAAATAGACTGGTTTAATTAAAATAATAGTTAAAATTGCAAGAATCGAATAATCATATAATTTAGTAGAAAGTTAGCAAAATTTTGGAAACTAAAGAAAGCACTTTTATTGATCAAAGAGATGTAGTTTAATAATAATTTTAGTTTTTGAAATAACTTGAATAATCTTAAAGCTTAAAAGAGGCTAATCATAATCGTATTCGTTTGATTAGGTAAACTTAAGTTGATGAGACCATGAAGTTAAAATAATAATTATCTGAAGATAAACTTATAAGAACCCTTACTTAAAAAAAAAACTCGCAACTCCTATAATATCAGCTTTAAAAATTAAAAGATCAGGAGTTATAGAATAAGTAATAATAATTTAGCAAGGTAATTTTCCTATCCAAGTATACTTTAGATTTCAGAATGGGAATTTTAATTGAAATAAGATCTAGAATATAAGAAAAATGAAAAAATTGAAAAAATTAGGGCTGAATAATAATAATATAAAGCTTAATTGTCATAAAAATTAGAATAACAATTAAAATATTAATAAAAGCTATAAGATGAAGAATAATAATTATTAAGGTAATTTTTAGGCTAAAAAATCTAGTAAATTACATAGCTCATAATAAATTGCTTAAAATCTAAAATAAGATTTAAGTTAGGCATAAAATTTAAGTATAAAGTTATACCATAACTCGCTGACAACTATCTCTTCTTCAATGAAATCTTATAGTGTACCAAAATTAACAAAGAAATAATTAGAAAGTCCTTATGCTTAAATTCCTACTATTCTTAAAATTAAAATAAATAAGTAATGTAAATTATAATAGTAGGGAGAAAATCTATAAAGATAGTGACAATTTTTTCCCTTGTATTGAAAAGCCAAATTATTAGGATTAATAAAAATAAATGGAAAGATTATATTAATCTAAAAATCAAATTTCAATTGGTTAACAACAAGATTTTTAATTACATAAAACAGGAATATAATCGTTTAAACAAACGAATTCATCACATATTGATTCATAAAATAATAACCATATCAGTAGCAGAACAAAACTTTTGAGTTCCACTCAAACAGCCAAATAGAAAGATTTTGGTACTACAAAAATGACAGATACAAATAGAAGTGCCAATCAAAAAAATAATAATCAAGAAAAAATTACTTAAGAATAAAAAGAACAGAAAAAGATTGAAACATTAAAAGATTCAAAAAAGTTAAATAATGAAAATTAATTAGAAAAATAAGAAAATTTAAATTAACAAAGTTTGAATTAACAAAAAAATTAAAATAAAATTGAGGAAAAGAAATAGATTGTATAAAAAGAATCCTAGGAAGTTGAAGACAATTACTAAGAAGAAAATTATGAAGATGAATTTAATTAAGAATAAGAAGAAGAATAATATGAAAATCAAAATCCATCTGATCACAAAGATGATTAAGGTGATCAAGAAGTGGAAGAATAATGATGATATAAATTCAAAATATATTATATACATATTTATATTAATTCTCAATATACAAATAATTTGAATCATATAAACAATGTACATACTCTAGCAATAATTGTCTAAATTGGTTAATAAATGAGCATAGCTCCTAATTAATATTCCTTAGCATTTATATCTATACTATCCTTATTTAATTACCAATTTAATTCAAGTAATATCATAACAGAATAAGCAACAAAAATAAATAATATTCCTATAATATAAGCAATTACTATAGCTTAAAAATGCGTAATAGAAAATTGAATCTGACTTAAGAATATGATCATTGGGCAAATCATCATAAAAAGAAAGGCTTTTTTATTTTCTATATTTTCTTTTTTAATAAACGAATATGCTTCTAAACCAATTCCGATTCCAGTAAACATACTGAGTGCAATACATAATAGATATTCACTTAATTAAGTTTGGCTCATTTCAATATTATTGTTTGTTACATTATCTTGCATTACCATAAAACTTGTTATGCCTATTAGAATTAATGAATAGAAAATTATTTCAAAAACAACTAAAATCCATTTAATTATCTAGATATCGATTAAGATATACATAATTAATTCTTCGGTGGAATATCAATATTAAAGGGTATAAAAGTAGAGAAAAAGATAAGCTCACCCAAAATAAAGCTGAAAATGAGTAATCTTCACTATTATATTTTATTAAAAAGTGTGAAAAACATTAAGGTTCATATCCACATCCATACATTAGAGAAATTTGTAAAATTAGGATTATAATTGAATAAAATGCAGATATTTATTTAAAATATTTTAACTTGATTTCGTAACTAGCAATACTTAAGTCATTTTAAGAATTTTTATTTTAAATAATTGATTTAGTCAAGCTCACTAATATCTAAAATTATACACCTAACAACATACAACATAAAACTTAAATTTCCTCAGAAGTAAACTAAAATTTTAAGATATTTATATAATTTACTTCTTTTTACAATTTTTATTTTTAAGTTATTTACAGCATAAATGAACTTAAATATGTAATTATCATTGTAACAAAAGTCTGGAATAATGGTGAATATATTCCAATAAATATATTTAATATTAATTCAATCGCTATAGGAGTTATTAAAACAATTAACCAACATTCTAAATACAATTAATTATTTATACCTTCACCTTAAAAGTGAGTGCTAGTCATGTTTGCATAAAAATTTAGTAATAAAATTACACCACCTATTTGCAGATATATTCTCCATAATTAATCTCCAAAACTTACTCCAAAAAGTGTCCAAAGAAATAAAAATGCAAAACTTCCACAACATAAGTAAATTACACTTACTACAATGTTCAAAATTTTTTTATTTTAATAGTCTGCGACTGAAGCACTGTATTCAAAATAAAAATGGCACAATTGACATATTATCACAAGACACCAAAAAATCCATTATTTGTCATATTAAAATATATATTTTCCTAATAAAGATAGTCCACAAAAACACTTAGAAAACTAGAATTTATATTTACAATATATTCTAAAAGCAGAAGAGTATAAGTTTTTCGAATAAAGGTATTCCTATAATCATCTAAACTTATTCTATAAAATTAAATATTTAATTACCCATTTTTATCAAGAAAGCTTTTTTGCATAGATAATATTTCCATATAACTCATATTATATAAATTTATAATTAGAGAAAAAAATAAAAAAAGAATTGTAATGTGATTTTTCATGGTTTTCTCATTTTAATTAATTCTTTATCATCTCAACGACATCAGATCTACAATTTGGACATTTCCGACTATTGACTAGCCATGATTTACAACAATGTTCATGAAATATATGTTAACATGGAAGCTGCATTATTAATTCATCTATAAATATTTATTATTTTAAACCTTTTTGGAACTCATTAAAGCATATACTGCATTTTTTATTAGATTTACCCATTTTCATTCGTTTAATTTTTTCCAAATAGTTTTTTGGAACACCATTACATTTCTGAAATACTTTATTCATATTGTTATCCCATATTTATTGTTGTAATTACTATTTTATTGCATATTATTTTTACTTGTATCTCTTGTTAATATTCTCGAGCAACTAAAATAAATATCAGTTTTACCTTGTTCCCAAATTCGAATTTATGAAATTACACTTTCTTCATTTTATTAATTCACTTATATTTAACAATTTTTACTCTTAGATTCTTCACCAATTAATACACTCATTTATCTTTTAGTTTTTAAATTTGTCTTTAAAATTTTGCTGAATAATTATTTAAATTAATCTTTATTAAACCAAGAACTTATGTTTAAATTCTTTTGTTCTGATATTATTTGATTTTTGATCTTCTCTCTAATAATAAAATTTGTAATATAATTTAGAACCAAAATTTTAGAATATAACGATCAAGAAAATTCTCGAACAATGAAAACTATAAATTATTTAAACCTGCAAAATATATTAACAAAAATAATACATTTATAATATTTTATTAATTTGATTGATTATTTAATAGTTAATATAATTAAATATTGGGTAATATCTTAATAACTAAAATATTTACAGATATATTATTTCAAACAATTGATTCAAATGGGGCATTCATATTTTTACTATAATTTCTTAAATAAATATTGCATTTCCAGTCATCTAAGGTTTATGCCTAAATTTCCAGTAAAAACAATGCTCCATTCCTTGCATATATTGCAGGCTATAAACCATCAGTAAATTTAATATTTTGATGCTTATACAAATATTAAATAGCTTCTGTAATAAATCCAGCATGACTAATAGCCATAATATTAGTAGAACTATTTGATTTCTGTAAAGAACTGAATTATTAAGCTGCTTGAACATAAGATCTAATGGCATAAGGCGAGCAATTCGATTCATAGGTAGGTGAAGTGAGAATCATTAAATTTTTTGAATCAAGTGATAACTATTTGTGTTAAATAATTAATTACATTTTAAAAGGGTTGTTAATATAGTTATTGTGTGATCAATTAATCAAAGAAAAATTTTGCTCTCAATTGTATTTATTCTGATGTTTCTGCATTATTTTGTTTGTCTAGAATAGGTTAAGTTTAAAGAGGATAGACTTCTGAATAAGATTTAAGGAGATCATTTCCAGGATCTCTTTCTCTTAAAACTGGTGTATAGATCACCTAAGTTGGTTTATATTTAAGTTCATTTTCTATAATCTCATAGGATTCTATACATCTAAAATATTGGTATAAATTACCTTTTAAAATCACTTGAATAGACCTAATCAAATTTAATTGCTGATAATTTTTTGCCAATATTTTTGGATTGTACTTTGCCAAGCCCACTGAGTCCATACTCGTTCATTCCAGATACAATTTTTAAACTTTGATATAAAGATTAACCATGTCTTATTAAGTATATTCGAATCATAAATATGTTACCAATAAATATTGTATTTATTTTAATATTTATTTATACGGTAAATATTATTCATCACTTCTTTGGTGGAGGAGGAGGAGGTCCTCTTCTTTATGGAGCTGGAGGAGGAGGAATTGCTTTACTTTATTAAGTTTATTATTTATTCTCTTAAATAGGATTTTGTTAAGTTCTTTGATTGAATGATTATTATTAATTTTGTAATTATTATTGTTATTATTGTTATTATTATTATTCTTATTGCCATTATTATTATTAATTAATTTAAGATTTATGTTATTATTATTAAAATGGCTATTGAGGAAGTGGTGGTTAAAATTATTGTTATTAAATGGATTAAATTTATTATTATTAGGGAGGAGGAGGAGGAGGAGCCACATGATGTTTTGGAGGAGGTTAGATAGGAGGAGCAACTAAAGGCTATTATTATTCTTATCTAAATGGCTCATTTGGAAATGGTGGTCCTTATAAATTTTAAGCTTCTTATTTTTTAGTTTAATTTGGAGGAGGAGCAACCTTTACTGGAGGATTAGGTTTTTAAACTGGTCGTCTGGATGGTGGAGGTACTCTATATAATCTATTATTATTTATACTGTTCATCTGCTGTCTTAGCAACATTAGGACCAAATGGATTATTTATAGCTGCTGCATTTGCATTTGTATTTTAATTGTAATTTTATTAAATCTACTATCTAACATTATGATCCTCTTAATTTTAATTTACAGCTGGTCTTGTTGGTCTAGATACTGGTTAATTTGGAGCATGAACTGGTTATGCAGATTATTATTTAACTGTTCCCATTTTTATTTATTCATGTTTAAATGGAAACGATGGTTTCTCCATTATTTTCTGAATTATATTTCTATCTTTATGATTTCCTCTATATAATAAATCTAATAATTCTAAAGCTCTTTAACAATCTGGAGATGAAAAATTTAGTGCATATGCCGCTGATAAGTATTGATTATGTTAAATTGCATAATTTGCAAATTATAAGATTAAACTATCAAAATAACGATCAAATAATTCACTTTCTTATAATGAATATTCTTAGATTACAATCAAAAGTTTAATTGTTTCTGTTAATTCTTTTAATGATTTATTATGATTAATAAGAATTTTAATACATTTTTCACCATTCATTGCTAATATAAAACATTAAAGAGCATTAAACTCATCTTTTCTTTCAGCAATAAATCTATCACCTAATTATTCCATAATTTTATGAAATTACCCTGTATTATCACTATTTAAAACCATAGCAGCACATTCTTTCCATGCATTTAATTCATAATTTTTAGCAATTTCATCAGGGTGTTTAAGAACGATATGTTTTAAGACATTTTTTAAAAAATAATCTGTTTATGTTGTTAAAAATGTGTTCATAGTTTATTCAAATATTTCTTTACTTTAAGAATATGCTAATAATAATGCTTCTGCAGATCTACCGCATTTTAAAGCACAATCTATAGCTCCTTCATAATTACCAACAATTAAATTATCTTTAATAATTTTTTCAACTCCAACATTCCAATTAGTATTTTTTGATACTTATTCAGATTAAAAGATTTCTACATCTTAATTTCTACTTGTATTTGTTTATTATTATTTACTAATTGATTGATTAGTTAAATCATTAAAAAATGAATCTGCATCTTAATCAGTAATAGTTGCGAAATCAATAGCAGGTCTTTAAGGTGCTTAATTCTTTTTTTTGTTTTGATCATCCTTTTTTGAATGTCTTTTTCCAGTATAATTTTCAGTTTATTAGGTGATCTCTTTAACAGAAAATCCTAAAGTTGCTAAATATTCTTTCTTATCTTCTTTTTAAACTGCATTTAATAATTTCCAATATTAAGCATATTATTAATCATGTTATTTATCGATTTCAAATTGAATTCTATTTTATTCAGCATCAACAGAACAATAAGCATTAAAATTTTCAAAAATATTATCAGGATCTGATTTATTAATAGAATAGACTTAAATAGCTGAATTATTTTCTTTAAATGCTGCCATTTAATCAAAAGCATATACTGATCCAACAGGAGGTTTCAACCATTTAGGAGCATATCCTTCTTTTCCACATGGTAAACTTCTGATACTTGTTTGACCATCTACACTTGATATTGAATATACTGAAGTAACTCTTTTACTCCATTTTAAATCAGCTATTTCAAAGTCTAATTATTCTTAACTTACGACTGATTAAGTCTTATAATTCCAACATACTACTTATCCATCCCTACCACCTGTTAATAATAAAGAATGATCATTTGGACACCATGATAAACTATTTATACCTGATTTATGTATTTAGCTAAACACTATTGATGGTCCTTATGGATTTCTTAGATCCCAAATTTATAATTCTGGTGCTCTTTCATCATCATATGCAACCGCTATTTATGTTGGAATTTCAGGGTTCCATAATAAACTCACTTTCTTATTACTAATTGCACTACTATCTTAAAAACTAAATATTGGTTTATTATTTCTTAAATCCCAAACTCCAGTTAAACCATTCTAAGATGCAGATGCTAAAATGTGTAATATTTTCTTATTCCAAGAAACAGCTGTTATTGAACTATCTTCATGTAAATTAGGATTTCCAGGACCAAATACTTATGGATTTTAAATATCTTTAATGATATCAGCTATCTAAATTATTAATTAATTTATTTATTACTAAGACATCTTGACCTCCTAATGCAATTAAATTTGGCTTGAATTCATTAAATTCTATTGCACTCACTGGTCCTTCATACAATTAATCAATAATAGAAACACAACTTTCTTCCTCCTAATTAATAGCAGAATTTGCATCATAAAGTGCCACGTAACCTTCTGATGTTCCTGCAGCCACTAAACCCATTGGATATGTTTCTTAAGCAAAGTTTTCCCAAGCCAAACATGTTACTGCATCTTTACATGAAATTGTGCCTATAATAGATGTTGACGTGTTCTTCTATCCAAGGTTAAATGAATTGAATTATAATTAAGCACTTTACTTATAAATTATTTAATTACCCCCATTAATCATTTACTGCTGATACCAACAGATTCGATTATGATTTTAAATTCGACCAGACTGACATATTTCCTTAAGTTGTCTTCAATAACATTTTTATTAATTTATTTATTAATTTTTTAGATTAATACCGATATTAAATTGCTTAAACAAAAAATATTAAATGAATGATAATATATTTTAAATATTTGTACTCATTTACTATTCAACACTTATTATAAAATGATTCCAGCTGATACACTTACATTTAAAGAGTCTACTAAAGTTTCTGGAAAAGTATGTCTATTTGTCATTATATTTACAATCGTGTCACATTACTTAAATAATTCTGTTCTAATTCCTGAACTTTCAGATCCAAAAATTATTATTTTTTTTGCCTTTTTTTAATCTTTCTAAAATTCTTCTATTGGAATCTCAAAAATTATAATTGAATAATACACTATTGCTTTCAAAACCACTTCCAATTACTTAAAATTCATGTTTTCTCTGTTTAACAAAATTACACAAATTATCAGTTTCAAAAATATTCATCATTTCAAGAGCACCTGCACTTGTTTTACTTACTGTTGGTGATAAAGGGCATTATCCTTTTTTTTCAACAATGACAGTGTTAATTCCTAAAAAAAAGCATACTCTTAAAATTGCTCCAAAATTTTAGGGATCTTAAACAGAATCTAAAAGAACAAAATTGGGTTCATCAGATAATTGATTGCAATAATTTAATTTTGAACATTTCAAAATAACATTTTAATGGTGGTCATTGCTGCAATATCTTTCCAGTTTATTCTAAACTTTTTAAACTTATAATATACTTTAGGAATCATTTAAACATCTAATTTTAATTATTAAGCTCTATTAAGAATATTTGAAATTCTTGGATTAATATAATCATCTCTAATTATATGATGGCATCATACTTTATTATGTTTAATTAACATAAAGTTAGGTAAACTATCTTTTGTTAGCATATAATGCAGACATAACTGGATTTATGCCATATAAGTAATCATATGATTTCTGTGATGAAAATCTTAATCCTTACTTGAAAATATACATATAATAATTTAAAATTTATTTATGCCTTTGTATGAATTAATAGCAATTTGCAGATGCTCTTAGGCATAAGGTACAGCAGCAGCCATAAGATAATTGTCAGTCTTGATTTTTTAAGGAGGTAATATAATCTAATGAAAAGGAAAGGAGGAAATATTAGAAATGTGAGAATATTGGGAGATAGAATCTTAAGTAAATAAATAATAGGAAATGATGGATTTAGACATTTAATAGGAAGATATGTTTCAGTTTTATATGATGGTCATCCAAGCAAGTTTAGATCTGTTTTAAAGGGAGGAGAAAAGTCTTTTGAAATATTTAGATTATAACACTTTCGAGTAAAAGACTTTATACCTGAAGCAGTTCGATTTACAAAGCCATTTGAAGAAGAAGCTCCTTTTGTGAAAAATAGCAGCATCTAAACTTATGATTATGGAAGAGCATTGCAAATATTAAGAGAAGAAAAATAAAAATTATCATGAGTAATATAAAAATATTGCATTATAGTATTAAATGCTATTTTCATTATTGTTACTACAATTACTTTCTTAGAGCTTGAACATTAAAGTTTAATGTATAACAGATCCATAGACTAACGCTTGCGATCATTTAACTATTCATTTTGATCTTACAATCAAATTTGAATCAATTGAATAATCTAATTAGTATTACCCTTTACTATTTAAGATGACGATAAATTAATACTTTTATAATTTGATGATACAAATACTTAAAAATATATAGTTAACCATTGGCCTATTAACATTAAAAGGAAAAATAAAAAATAAAAAGGAATTGAATAAATTTAAATGAATATAGTAGCCTCATAGAATACTAATAATTTAATTTTAAAGAAAGATTCGTAAATACCTTTAACCTATTTATGTTTAATTTCTGATTGGGAATATACTCTCAATTAGAATTTATTTAGACAATGATAATGAAATAAACTCTCAATTACAATGTTATAAATGATAGACTTAGCGAGATTCTAATTATTGATTCCTTAAATAGTGCATTCATTATTCATAGAGAATACTATTTTTTAAGACCTGATAAACTGATGCTTGAAATTAATAATCTTCATCTTTAAAAATTGTCAAAAACATTGATAACTATCTAAGAAATTTAATAATTCTTTAGTAAATTGTATTATTATTCCAAAATAGTGCCAACATATGGTATCTAGATAATTTATATAGAATTTCCAATAGCAATTACCTTGTTAAATTTAATATATTATTAATCATAGATATCTATGATAACAGATTGGCAATCAGATAACTTATAATGATTAGGACATCGCAAATTAAGTTCATTAATCTCTCATAAAGGACATTTCTTATAAAACATAAAGGAATTCAATCAAAGAAAGATGATTAATTGATTAAATTTAATTGATAACCAAAGCAAAATTCATTTATAAAGAACCAAAACCAAATTCAATTTTTTTGATATCACTATATCCTTCAAACTTTCAAATTTGAAATATAAGATATTTCAACTAACTTTTAATATATCTCAAATAAAACTTCTACAAATAATAAAACTGTCAGTAAGATGCTGTAATTAAAATTTCAATCAAAAATTACATCTTTACTAGAAAATAATATCCTTTCAATAAACTATTATTAAGTTATTAATAGAGAATGTAAATAATTTAGATGAAAAAGGTCTTCAACTAACTTTAACACCATGAAAATTTATTTCAATAATTATCCTTCTTTTAGTGGTTAAAATTTTGATATTATAAAAAAATTGACAAAATTTTTAATTTAACAAATTAAACCATTTTAAGTATCATAAATGTTACAGATGTTTTCTAAATTAAGAATTGAAACAAATAAAAAGATCTAATGTTGAATTAACAACTTAATTAATATTACTAAATTACGAATTCAAACGCTTGGAATAGTTGGATTACTATATAAACCTAACAATTAACTTTAGAAAATTGAACCAATCTTTGAATATATAATAACACACTCTAATTGAATCATAGTAATAAGAGGTATTTTCAATTCTCTGAACAATTATCAGAATTAGCAAAGAATGAAAATACAACTTCAATATTTAAGAACTTAATTGATGGTTAAAAGTAAAATTTAATTAATACATAGAAATTTAATTTATTAATCATCTACTGATTTGCAAAACGATTGCTTCACTTAATAATAATAAGAAATTCGTTAGAAAATAACATTTATTAGTTAATAAGAAAGCTAAGATTTATAATTTATATAAATATAGCTCTAATACTATTTGTTATTTTCTGCATAATATGATGAATAAGTATATATATTCAATATTATATTTTAATTTTATTCTTTTGCTATTAATCGATATCATTATCTTTTTTAACTTAATTTATTATTTAATTTTTCTGTCTTATTTTCTCTTTTTTCTATAATCTCAACAATACGACTTCTTCTAAAATTAATTTATTCTTTCTTAAAGTCACATCATCGAATCCATATTTCTTTTCAAATTAATTTTATTTATTACTTTTTTAAATGTTTGCTTTTCTTCATTCAATTATTCTGCAAATTCTAGGGTTGGAATAAAAAAAGGAGCGCTAGTATCATAATCTTAATTATTTGCACTTCCAGGCACCTGAGTTTAAATACTAATTTTGTTATTTAAATTACTTTTAAGAAATATATTAACACATTGTCTATTCGACGATTGGATGATTCTTTTCATTTTTTACTATTTTAAACTTAGTTTTATGCATTCGATTTTTCTTTTTTGGAGGCTCCTTTGAAATTGATCTTAAATTATCTAATAAATCTGTATTTTATTGAGCTTTCAGTTATTTATTGTTTGCTAATCTCTTTCTATATTATTTAATTGAATATACAATATATCCTCTTAGTAATTAACATTCCATTCCTTAAAAATTTAATTATCATTCTTGAGTTTAGATTATTCTTATTTTTCATCAAATTACTTTATGGATTTTGAAGGTATATCTGGTAATTCTGGTAATTATTATCTATATTAAATTTTTGGTAAAGAATAAGCCTAGTATGCTTAATTAATATCGAAAATTAATTATGCCTTTTGAGGAACAATAAACTATAATTAAGAAGCAGCTTTAGTCTGCACTTATTAATTCATATAAATTATATTAACAATAAAATTAAAATTCTAAGCAAAATTCATGTATTTGATTAAATTAATCATATCCTTGATTTTAAAATTTTGGTATTCTTGTATGCTGATTAAGTAAATTCCAAAAAAAAAATAAAGGACTATGTATTATTCTAATCCAATTAAAATTATTATAAAATGTTAAATGATTCATATTTAAAATCAATCCAAAAATTTAGATCTTATATCTTAATCAACTTTAGATCGAATAACATATAAAAATAGACCTAACATAAGGAAGATTATATTCCTCTTCCTAAGAAAGATCTCAAAAATGCAAAATAGATGTTAATTTCCTCTTTATAAATTTCTCCTAGTATCATTAAAATCCC